TACATCCAATTTATCAGAGAAAACATATTCCGCATTAAAATAACAATCAATAGCATGGAAAATAAATTTCTTGAGAATGTAGTATGTACATGTGATGGTACTCTGAACAATTTTACAATTACTTACACCAAAACAATCACAAATTACATTAAAACCAAATTAAACAGTCCTTCAAATCCATATACCTATCCAATGAAAATTAAAATTCAAACAAACTATGCACTTAACATTATCAGACAAACCGTAACAGTTTTTATCTATATTACTGTTTTTCAAATTTTTCAGTGCTAACTGAAGAATAGAAACCATTATTAAATGAAAATGACAAACAACTTCAGAAAAATGTTTAATTACTTGTATCCGACATTTCGGTTTACGCCTTTGTCAAGGGTCTATGAACGTCACAGGTTACCAAACAAAAAACCAGATGATAAAGATATCAGGAGATGACATATGCAGATTCATCCACATGCCAGTCTCAAGTATCCTGTCAAACGGTCAGTGAAAATGAGAAGCAAGAGTGAGAAAGGCAACAAAATTGATGCAATGAAATGTAAAAAGGTCTGCGAGCATCGATATCCAGAGGAGACTACACCAACTGGAAAAGTTGGCAAACCCATCCAGTAACAGAAGGAAGCAATATGTCCCTGGACGAAGAAGGGTTCCCAAGGCAGAAACAAAGGATTATGGGAACCCTGAAAAGAAGATGTTCACCATGCCAAATAACACAACACAGCCTGAACTGGACACAGAAGATGATCTGGGTCCAAACATGCAAAAGCCCAATCTAGGTAGAGTAGTAAATAATTATAGTGAAACAGAGTGGCATATGCATGTGTGCAACTTTAACCACAAGTGAAAAGAAGGAAATATGTCTTCAGAGAAAGAGGGTATAAAGAACCAGAAGCCAATGGCTTAAATGGGACATGTGTTAGAGCATGTAAATCATACTAAGATCCCAATCATGCATGGGAATCAGTGAAAAAGGAAGGATCAGAACAAAGGTGAAGAAAACACCTGGCAGTAATGGGAAGGGTGAAATGTAGTTTACAAAGCTGCCTGATAACCAGCTGTGGTGAAGACCAACAATCCATGATCGATAAGGTGATCAGATTTCCAAACTGAAAAACCAGAATAGCTCAGCCCTTGCCCCTAATTTCAAAATGATAATTACAAATTTAAAATAATTTAACACTTATTTAATTTACATTAAATTCCTTGAACTGTTCCACAATACTTCCAAATATATTAACATTGGAATTGTTCTTGAAATAATTTTAAGTACTTTTTTTGGTGATAGACACAACAAATGAGCAAAAATAGACAAATTATATATCCAAGAAATCTTTAATTATTCACTTTATCAAATTCATTTTTAAATAAGCTACTTTCTTACCCAGATTTATTTAAGAATCCATAATATTTTCAAACATACTACTCTTTTACTACTATTCGAAAGCGCTCGAGTTTTGGGTCTTATTTTAAGCCTATTACACTTTATATGTCATCCTTTGTGCTAACTCTTTTTCCATTACTTTGAAACCTTATAAACATATTTTTGTGAAGAATGAATGAAAAGGAGGAGTTCTGTTTTTTCATTAAATAGTCATAAAAGTCAGTAAATGACTGTATAAAGTTTGTTTTGACAAAGAGAATTTCTTTAACCATCTTGCTACAGGCAGGTCAAAGTGCACATGTCCCAACTTTTTAAGAGAGTTACATTCAAAATTTAATTATACTACTTTATTATCATGATATCTGAATTTCTTTTGTAATAAAACATAGTTAATAAATCAAGTTTTAATATTATACAAGTTTCAAGTTCTTAATTTTATAAGAAAATATTTGAAAATCCTCAATCTTCTCTTGTATGAGAATTGAAATTTGCTCTCTAGGTCTGTCTTCTCTAATTTAAATACTATCCCTCAAAAAAGTAAGAAATTTAATGTAAATTACTTATTACGATATAGTTATTACTCAGGCTTTCTATAGCTTTCAGTCTTATTTATTTAAGGAGATTTGTTTGTTTGTTTTGTTTTGTGAATTTCGCGCAAAGCAACACGAGGGCTATCGGCG